TGCATGTGTGTGTTTAGGGTTTAATTCTTGTATCTAAGTTATTATTTCATACCATGGTTTAAATAAATTGTTTATTTAAATTCTGTCCTTTTATTTAGTATTGTGTGACCCATGCAATATTTTATGATTGGGAGTTTTAATGAGTTGGTTAAACATTATTTGTGATTAAAAATTTGGAATTGTTTGTGATTAATATCAAAATTAACTGAAATGATTAACGGCATATACGAAGTTAACAATTGACGGTCAATACCAGTTGCTCAGAGTGAGTCTTGGTTTTAAAGAGTGTACGAAATTAAAGGTTGACGGTTAATACCGGTTGTTCAGGGTGAGCCCTGGTTTTGAGAATTCTCACGTAAATTGTGTTACGAAACTCTAAGATGGCACGGGACTTATTTGAACCCTTTTCGGTATTCGGTTTTGGAATAAGGGTGGATGTGCAGATGGCACACAGGGAGGTTGCTTACCCCTGGCAGACCGTTTCCTTGGGGCAGACCACGGATGCCACTACTTGGGTATATAACTCCGGACGTGGCCATCCCTGGTAGTTACGGTTGGTAACACTTAAATATTTGACCAAGTGAGGGTTTCAAATTAACTGTTGCCATGCTTTGTGGTTGGTAAGTTAAATCTCTTTGGTGAGATTTCGAGTGTCACCTAATTTATTAAAATTACTGAAACTATTCTAATGGTTGTAATTTCTGTGTATAATTATATTGTTATCTCATGTTTAGAATATTATTATTTGTCTCTTAAAAAGAATGGTAGGTTGGTTACGTTTTCTTACTGTGTTGCAAAACTCATGGCATATATTTTGTTGACTTGGCGTTTCATGCCAGATTATGTTGAAGAAGGGACTGAGGCTGAAATTGGAGCTGCTGCCAATATCGAACCTTGGCTGACTTAGAGTCAAGATTTTGTCAGAATAAAATCCTGTTATCCCTTGTATTAGGATTAAACTATGTTGTGACGTTGTGTGTGAACTCGTAGTTTTATTTTGTCGTTGGACTTTGGCTTTGTAAGAACTTAAAAGTTCCTAACTAGTAGTTAAAATTTTATCTAGTAAGTTATTGTTATTTAAAATCTTATGACGTTTCAAAAAAAAAAAAATTTGGGGCGTCACACTCTCTCTCTCTCACTCTTTCTCTATCTCGCTTGCTCTTTGTCTCTATCTCTCCCTTCCTCTATTTTCCCATTTCTCACTCTTGCTATAGGGTTTTAAGAGATTTACCAAGTCTAATTTCGTGTTGATTTTTGAAATGGGTTTAGTTTAAGTAGTTTGATTTCTAGGGTTTTATGGGTTTGATGTGGTAAATAGGTTTGATTTAAGTGGTTTGATACCTTTTTCCCTCTTTTTATTTCTCTCTCATTAGGCTCAAAGCCCTAATCCGACTTCTTGTGTATTTATTTCCATGCATGGTTGCTCATTAGTTTGAAATTGTATATGTATTTGCGTGGTTACTTATTGATTATGTATGTATTCTCATGTAATTTTGAGAAGTTTTTTATGCTTTGCATTTCATTGTACCACTACCACATATTTTCAAAAGATGGACATTTTTGTTTTCCTTTACTGCTTGTAATTCTTATAATCATAAATGACCTCTTTTCATAGATTTATTAAGGAAAGAAAAGAAAGGAATCCGGAAGTGGAGTGTGCTATTGCAACCAAATTTGCAACATTACCATGGAGGCTGGACCGTCAGAGTGTCCTTACTGCCCTTAACGACTCACTGTGTCAACTTGGGCTTTCTTCAGTGGACCTCTATCAATTCCATTGGTGTGTGCTTTGTTAGCCTTTCAACTGTAATTGTTCTGTGAATTTTTGTTGTCATAACAATTATTAATTAATGTGTGTGTGTTGAAATTCTAGGCCATGAGTATGGGGAAATGAAGGTCGTTCACTCATATCTGTCGTTTCGTTCAATAATGGGTTGACGTTGTAACTTGAATTGGATATATATCAACCATGCTAAGGTTCAGAAGAGGCTTAATTTATTGGAAAATCATCAATGCTATGGAGCAGGGTCTCGTGAAGGCTATTGGGGTTTCCAACTATAATGGTACATTGTAACATTGTCATTTTCAGTTGCTCCTTATTATCTAGGTTACACTTATTGAAATATGCTATGGTACCCTAATAATCAATTAGGGACTGCCCTATACATATTGAAAGCCCTTTATGTCGTTTTTGGAGCCTCTAGAGGCCTCTGAATTGAGGGATTCATAATTCGTGTGAAATTTGTTAGGCTTTTAACCTTCAGACTTGCAAGAGTAATGGCTTTGCTATTCTTGCAGGTTTGGCTGGCATCAATATTAGTCCGTGGACTCTAGGTGTTTAGTTTTTTTTTTTTCTAATATTTTGTTCCTGTATTACAACTCAATTGCTGCATTTTCTTTTACACCTTTCTAAATATTTTTTGCTAGCATAGCTTGGAATGTCTGAATTATTTGAGGTTTGCTACATCATAGTGACACCAAATGTAACTCTCGCTTCGCTGCTCTGTTTTGCTACTCAATCAATCAATTTATGTCTCAAATTTTTATTCACTACTACTATTAATTAATTTTTTTCGTTGGCTGACCTCTATATCTATCTCGATTTTCTATTTCTCTTTCTTTTTCCTACTAGGGGCCAAAAAGTTGAATTGGGTTTGAGAAAAAAAGGGTGGTGTACGATTGACAACAAGATGTTGCTAAAGTTCTTTTGACCTAGTTTGGTTTTAAAAACCCTCTAATTTTCTTTCTTTAATAATTATTTTTGTCTTGTTCCATAACATTTCAGCTTGATTCGTTTGGTTGCTAGAAGTAATAGGGAATGAATACAAATTGAAATTTGGATAGAAAATGAATAGAAAGCAATTGCGAACAAACTAATGAGCTCCAAAATGTATTGGAGCTTGGGTTGTTTATGCCATTATTGTGATGTCGAGGCAACATTACCATGGGGATTGAGGCTTTGTGACTAGTGTTGGAAAAATAATGATTTTTTGGTGACTTTAATGCAATATTAAAGTGGGTGCCAATCCTCAATTGAGGTAGAGATAAGTGAATTTAGATTCTTTGTAGTGAGATCTTTACACCACAAAAAGAATGACCAAAAACTATTATGGTTTGAATGAGAAATTGACTTATGAAGGTGGCCTCATGAAAGAGGTGTTGGGAAAGATGTAAAACCTCTATCCCACATTGATTGTAGAGGAGAGTATTGATGGGTATTTAAAACCCATTTTTTGCATAAGGGTACAAGCCCTTCGGGGCATCCAAATTTTTCAAAGGAAATGAGTTATGGATGCTTCAAAGATAGACTTGGGCAAAGAATATAGTCCAAGTTGGTTATGACAAAATTGCCACACGCGCATGCGTATCCTGCCTGCCCTCCCGGGCCGGTCCGGTCCGTGATCCGTGGGTTGTGGATCTTGAACCTTGGGCTTGGACGGAATGAAGAGTGTGGAAGTTGGGCTTGGCCCACCAATCTTAATTTTTAGGCCAAGTCAGATGTGTGGGTTGCAGGAAACATAGTCTCCTTTATTGATGATGGAATTAAACCCATCAGTTTTACAGAATTAATTTCTGCATTGTTGCAGGGGAGCCTCTTCCTCTCTCCCTCCATATGTATAAAATGAGGCCTTCTCCTTCAGCTTTCTAACACCAGAAATTACAGTTATTCTTGTCTTCCTAAGTTTCCCAGTTTATTTTATATTCTTTTCAATCGATGCATTGCATAGCTAGTCCAACCGTCGTATCTTGGGAGACAGACGTCGAACAAGCTCCAACACCCAACCGGTGAGGCGGCGAATCTGTTTTAAGGACACACTATCTAATGCAGGCTTCGGTTTGCTTTCTTCTACAATTTTATTGTTTATGAATTTCTATTCTATCTATGTATAATTTCCAGCATGAAATTCAGATTGATAAATATATGAATTTATTTGATTTATGTTATCACACAATTTATACAACAAGTTTAAAACAGATTATATATTTTTTCATGAAATTGGAATTAGATAAGTAGATTCAAATGGAATTTGTAAGAATTAGATTTCACTGTGCATGCGGTTTCGGTAGGAACAGTCCACTGGTTATGTACTTTGTAATTTGGTGCTACGTACTGTTTACGTGATAGCTTAATTAGTACACTGTTCTTGAATTCAAGAGTGCACTGTTTTTTGAATTAGATCTCGATATACACTGTTTCGATGCAAGGTTTCACTACTATTTTCCCATTGGTTGTATAGGAGTTGTTTAACGAAATATTAATTCATACTTGTACAATGGTCCACTGGTTTTGTTTCCTAGGAATACATGATCAGGCAACGCTATGTTTTCATTAGAATAATTTTATTGCTAGCTCTCCAGTAATATTTACATATTGATTGGTTTAGTATAATTTTATTCTATGAGCATGATTAATGATTTCCTATCATGCTTTGTATTTTTTTTTTTTTTTAGTTTATAATTTTATAATATAATTTGCATGTTCATAAATATTTAAATTTTATTTGACATGCTAATTAGGTTAAAGTATAATTAACATGTTCAATATGTTTACATACTAGATTAATTCACATGTTTATTTATTTTTTAGATTTAAGTCAATTTCCATGCTTCTTATTCTAGAATTATTTACATGTTAATTACTATAAACTTATTTGCAGGTTAATTGCTAGAATAATTTACAAGTTTATTACATGTTCATTGCATTGGGAAAAAAAAAATTCACATAACTCTTGCCTATTAAATTTTTAGTTTAATGTATTTGGAGTTATAAAATTGTGTAACTTGTCTAAATTGATGCACATGAATATTATGTAATTTAATTGGGTGAATTAAATTTATTTTTTTGTAGTTATAAGTTTAAATGTTGATTGTGAATTAATTTCATTCATAACTCATGACTATTATTTTTTTTTAAATTTATTTATTTAGAGTTACAAATTTTATTTACAAATTTTATTTTAAAGTTTTAATTTAATTGTGAAGTTACAAATTATATTTTGTTTTGGTACCTTATCTAGCATTTTAATTCATTAGTTAATTTTATTATTCAATAGTTGGCTAAATGGTTTCAATTAACGTATTATATCTACATTTTGTTTAAATTATTTGGTTTGTATTTTTTGCGTTTTTCTGCTAACTTTTTTTACAGGAATACCTATGCGAAAAAAATAAAAAAAGAATAAATTTGGATTGTACAAACGAGATTTTTGGACTATATTATTTAAACAATTTTTGCTTAAAATTTAGTTGTGGTGACTTGCCAATTCTTTTTAAAGCAAGGTTGTTTGCTTTGTATATTAGAAGCATTTTTTTTTTGCTTATCTTTGTTGTAACAATTTTTATATTGATTGTAATTGTTAGCAATTTTATTTTAATTGCTTGTAAGGTTGGAACTAGTTTGTTTAACCTAATTCATCCCTTAGAAAATTTAATTCTGAAAATGGTTTATCACGAACTAAGAGTCAACATGCTCTTGAAAATTTTGTCAAAAAGTTAACTAGGTTTTAAGTGGGACCGATGTGACCCCTCCAATCTTCCTAGGAACATTCTTGACCATGTTCGATTCTAGGTTAAGTGGTGATACTAGTTTTGAATTAAATTTCCAACTGTGGGATTTTCTAAGAGTTAAGTTTAATTTCTAGAAACACAAAAACTGATATTCTGTTGTATTTTTCAAAAATGGCAACTGTCACCAATGATGTTGCTACTACTAATGTTGGTGGAGATCTGAACCCCGGGGTAACTAATTTGCCAACCCCAACTGTGACCTCTGTGGTCAACCCTGGTGTTACTCCGACTGTTCCGGGAGGATCACTCAGTCACCATGAGCGCCCAGAGAAATTTGCTGGGGTGAACTTCAAAAGATGGCAGCAAAAGATGTTGTTCTATTTGACCACGCTGAACCTTACAAAGGTTTTGAGTAAGGATCCTCCAGCCATAGCAGAGAATGAACCAAACAAGCAGAAAGTCATGACACTTGACACATGGAAGCAGACAGACTATCTTTGCCAGAATTATGTGTTCAACAGTTTGGCAGACTCACTCTACAGTGTGTTTTGTGCCAAGAGCTCAACAAAAGAGTTATGGGAATCTCTGGACAAGAAATACAAGGCTAAGGACGTCGGAGCAAAGAAATTTGTTGTTGGCCGGTTCTTGGACTTTAAAATGGTAGATTCAAAAACTGTGATAAGCCAAGTCCAGGAGTTCCAAGTGATCTTGCATGAAATTCACGTTAAGGAGATGCCTTTGAACAAGTGATTCCAAGTTGCGGTGATCATTGAGAAATTTCCCAATGGTTGGAAGGACTTCAAGAACTACCTGAAGCACAAGCGCAAGGAAATGTCAGTTGAAAACCTGATTGTCCGACTCCGAATTGAGGAGGATAATAGAAAGAAAAGAGGAAGTATCTCCTCTATGAAGGTTGATGTCATTAAGCATGGCAGATCTTCTGGGTGAGGAAGAAGCCTCCTGCGAACAAGAGCTCAAAGCTGGGGCCAAGAGGTGGTGTTGCCAAGAAGCTGACATACAAGCCTCATGAATCTGGTTATTGGTTCTTAGAGAAGTGCTACAACTGTAGTAGCGAGGGGCATCGGGCTAGTGACTACCGTAAGCAGAAGAAGGCATACAAGACCATACCTCGTGCTTCCATGGCAGATATGCAAGAGCACTCACATGATGAGGATGACATGTACTTGTCTGCTGTTGTCTCTGAGGTAAATCTAGTTGGTTCAAACCCAAGAGAATGGTGGATTGATACTGGGGCTATACGCCACATCTGTTCCGAGAAGAAGCTGTTTACAACTTTTGAGCCGGTTACAAACGATGAGAAATTGTTTATGGGAAATTCTGCTACCTCAATTGTTGAGGGGAAAGGAAATGTGGTCCTGAAGTTGACCTCAGGAAAGGAGCTGACCTTAAACGAAGTCCTGTATGTTCTAGACATTCGTAAGAATCTTGTCTCGAGGTCTCTTCTTGGCAAACATGGTTTTCACATGGTCTCTAAGTCTGACAAGGTCGTTCTGACCAAGAGCTAAGTGTATGTGGGTAAGGGTTCTATGTTGGGAGGTATGTTTAAACTCAATGTAATGACTGTTATCCCAAAGATGAATAAAGATGCATCTTCTTCTTCATACATGCTTGAGTCTTCCAATTTGTGGCATGGTAGACTAGGACATGTAAACTTTGAATCTTTATGTAGATTAATCAAGTTAGATCATATACCATCTCTTAAGATTAATTCGAAACACAAGTGTGAAACTTGTATTGAAGCGAAGTTGACAAGATCTTCGTTTCATTTTATTGAAAGAAGTTCAGAGCCGTTGGACTTTGTGCATAGTGATGTGTGTGACTTAAAGTTTA